GGCGTGATCCTCCTGCCTCGGCTTCCTAGCGTGCTGGGATTACAGGTGTGAGCCACCATGCCCAGCCAGCAGTCAGCTTTTTAAGATTCTTTGTGTCATCCTGGTGCCTACAAAAGTTTGAGGGCCATTACCTTTGTATGGGTGTGTATATGTATTTAGTTTATTATATGATAAAGATGGAAAATTTCAAAAAGAAAATAGAGATGGGGTCTTGCCATGTTACCCAGGCTGGTCTCAGACCTCTGAGTTCAAGCGATCCTCCTGCCTCAGCCTCCCAAAGTGCTAGGATTGCAACTGTGAGCCACCGCACCTGGCAAGCCATTACCTTTAATCAGGGTCTGTCCTGTGAATTAACAATGGCTTGAAAGAAATAAGGTGAGCTCCTTGCTCCTTCAAATGCTTTTAGAAGACATCGTTAGCCCTGAGCCTGCCATTTAGTTGCCATCAAGAATGTGCCATGAGATCCTGGGGGGTCGTGATCATAAATGAACAGCACATGATGTGATGAGGAATTTTCAGTAAAACTTGGAGGGCCCGGGAGCGGTGGCTGACGCCTGTAATCCCAGCACTTTGGTAGACCAATGTGGACCTGAGGTCAGGAGTTCAAGACCACCAGCCTGGCAGCCAACACGGTGAAACTCTGTCTCTACTGATAATACAGAAGTTAGCAGGTGTGGTGACATGTGCTTGTAATCCCAGCTACTCATGAGGCTGAGGCAGGAGAATCTCTTGCACCCGGGAAGTGGAGGTTGCAGTTAGCCGAGATTGTACCACTCCACTCCAACCTGGGCAGCAGAGTAAAACTGTTTCTAAAAAAAGTTGGGGCCGGGCTCAGTGGCTCACGCCTGTAATCCCAGCACTTTGGGAGGCTGAGGCATGTGGATCATGAGGTCAAGAGAACCAGACCATCCTGACCAACATGGTGAAACCCTGTCTGTACTAAAAATGCAAAAAATTAGCCGGACGTGGTGGGACATGCCTGTAATCCCGGCTACTTGGGAGGCTGAGACAGGAGAATCGCTTGAACCCAGAAGGCGGAGGTTGTGGTGAGCTGAGAATCCGCCATTGCACTCCAGCCTGGGTAACAAGAGCGAAACTCAGTCTCAAAAAAAAAAAAGTTGGAGGAAGTTATCAATCTCTGGGGTGGGCCACATTTGAATTATTTATGTTTATTCTGATATTAATAAAGGCAGAATGGTTTTGATTTTCAAAGCAAGCCACTTTGTCATGGAAATCCCTTTTGAAGCCGGATATTAAATCAATTTTTTGGTTCTGGCCACTCATCTACTTTGAATTTACTTTGGGAAGAAATGTGGCTAGTCAGTTCCACCTCACTATTCAGCGCCACAGCCCCGGCCCCCAGCCCTGTTGGTTTGTCTGTTTGTTTAGGGGTTTCCAGACTGTTGATTAGTGCCCTGGATCTGCTTAGCACGTCCCCAGAGAAAAATCTAAATAACATAAGAGCTGCTGTCCAAAAATGTCAGCTAGAAAAGCTACCCTGGGCCGGGCA